AAAAAGATTTCGAAGCAATTCCGGATAATTTTGCAGCGAAATCGTCCATCATACTTGTATCACTCATCTTGATGTTCTCGAACTCGGTAGTCAACGTTTGGAGCCTTGCTTCCTTTACTGAATCAGATCCAAGGTTACGGGTTTTAATCACATCCCATATCTCCTTGCCGGTTCGTAGGTTACCGATTTGGAGTATTAAATCTTCCGGTATAGATTGGAACAACAAACCCTTCACGATGTTGTTGTTCTTGTTGTCATCCAATCCGAGGTCAACAACATCCTATACGCCATGAATCCTGAGTAGCACCTCAATGCGCATCCTCCAAATTGTATCGTTTGTTGATGTTAAAGATGGTCATTGGAATTTCAATGAGGTAGGTTCTTTTGCAGATGGCTATGATGAACTTCCTTCTCTTGTCATCATTACACGATTTCATCTTCTACCCAAACTGTCAAGTAGTTGATTTAGATCTGCAAGCACACGAAAAACCGATGGTTCATTGATTTGGTTTTTTTCTTTTTTCTGATCAGGTTCTCCACACGAATTCCTTCTTTGATCTCAAACAAGAAAAAAAATGGCAGATTTTTAGTCTTCTCAGGGACAGAAAACAGATGGCAATTTTGCTTCAAACACAAGCAAAAAACAGAAAAACATAAACCTAACAAGAGCAGGTATTTGTGAAAAACCAGAAACAGATGGTGCGCTGCTCAGGTTCTCCACACGAGCACAAGAGAGCTTCTTTAGTCGTAAGTTTTTCTTCTGTCGTAGATTTTGAGCAGGTTTTTTTTTTCTATTCAGGTTCTTTTCACGAGTAGTCTCTCTGAAAATGCAATGAGAACTCCTTCTGTTGTAATCTGTCGCGGGTACACCCTTTCACAAACCAGAAATTTGAACACTAGTTCGCTCTGATACCAATTGAAATGGTAAACAGGAAACGAAAATAAAGAATACTGTATAAACTCGCATGAACTTTTATTGAAGTAAAAACTCACTCAAAAACTCCGATCTCTTAAAAACGATTACAAGATCCTAACATCTATATATACTGGACATAAAAACACATAAAACACATCAGAATATAATTAGGATTCCTAAATGTAATCTAACAAAACTTTCATTTTTACTGCATTCCTTATTGGTTAAGGAAATACTAGAAATCTAGAACAACTTGGACAACACTCTAAGTTACTTGGACACCACTCCAAGCCATCGACTTCGACCAAGACACGCCTTACAACCAGACCCGGTTATGACCAGGGGCAAGGTGGGCACATGCACAAGGTCCACCATTTGAAGGGGCCCATTTTTTATTTTTATTTTTTTTATATTATATTTAATTTTTAGGCCCAAATGCAAAGCTTTTCCAGAGCAATCCTCTAATCAAGATCAGTCGTAGACTCGTAGTCCACACACGAAGGCAGCAAAGCGATCATTCAGCGGGGTCGATTACTCAGATTAATCATTTACGGAAATCACTCGATCATTCGATCGTCCACTCCTGCAGTCGTGTTAATCGTGCTAATCAGGTAATCAATTTCTAGCTTTCTATTTGTTCCACACTTCCACAGACCAGAGGGATAGATTATCTGATTTCTTCAGAAATTTTGTTAATCGTATTCTATGATAATTAGGTTTTAGGCGTCATATGTGTAAAATATAATGTGAATTTATTTAGTCCCTTTAAAGGGGTGAATGAATAGTATGTATCGACAATAAATAGAATACGAATGAAGTTTGAATGAAGTTTGCAGACTTACAGTTAGGCCTACCAAAATTTGAAGTTCTATTTAAACTTAAAACCAACACTTAAAATGTACAAGATATATTAAAAATAGCATGTAAAGCAAGCATATAGAATTTAATATCTATCTTGTACCAAGAACACATATTACCCTCAAGTTCTTGAATTTGATCATAAAGCTACAGTTATGTCAAGTTGCACAAATTTAGCTTCAACTTTGAGTAATTAGTCAACACTAACACAATTTTTCCATTTCTTCTTATTAATAAAACTAAACCTGATATATGTCCATGGTTAATTTAATTAGCTTTTAACCCTAATGAATGTTATGAAACCCTACATTACTTGAGCTAGTTAGTAATTACTTGTTAAATTAGTTCAGTGTATGTTAATTACTTATGTGATTAGTGTATATAGACTCTCAATGTAATTTTTGGTTGTTTTTCATTTTGTCAACTATTTGAAGTCATTATAAATTTCAGAATTTTATGTATTTAATTATTATTTTGTCAACTACTAGTTCGATTAGTGTAGTATATTTTAATTAGTTGTTGGGTATGAGCTCTCGATGTTAATTATTAGAAAGACTTAGCGGTTTGGCGATGATATCTATCGAAAATGAAATCTTAGAGAGTATAGACTATGAAGAGTTGATCAACTAATTTACTATCAAGAATGCTAGGATAGCTTCAAGGGTTTTCGGTTAGCTGTTATAGCTATTACGATATGCAATTACTTATTAAAATACTATGATTTTTTCGTGTTTATTGCTATAAAGTTTATCATCATTTTAAAAAACCTTTAGTTTATATAATTTAATTCGTTACATGGTAGACCATAAGGGTCTTTTTTTTACCGGCTCGTCCTGGGCATTTGAATTCTCAGGACCGGCTCTGCTTACAACCACACCTGGTTCTCAGAAGTTCCCAACAATCTTGATATTCTCATAGTCATTTACAGGGGCGGCTCAACTAGTTTTGGGGCTCTAAGCGAGGCAAAAATTTGGGGCCCTTTGGTCTTTATTATATTAATGTTATTAACTCCCATCCTTTATCCAGACTTGGGACCGACAATAATAAACCAAAAAGTTTCTAAATAGCGGAGTTAAACTGGTAGTAATGGATTATCATATTATTGGATTAATGGAATACCTGAGAATAGAAGATAATGGAAAACTCAAAAGTGAAAACTCAAATTCGTTCCCTGTTGGCATGTTCCAACCCTGAAGACCAGAACCTTGAGGCCTTGATTATATAATCTCTATTTTGTAATAAAAAAAGATAAAAGAGAACATGAGAATTAACTTGCAAATCAAAATAAGAAATCTAAATCAGATTTCTTATGAATCAAAATCCTTAACAAATTTTTAACTTGGTTGGTTTCCCTCTTCTTGGTTGATGCTACAAAGCCAACAGAGCACATAATGACACACACATGTACATAGATTCCACACAGATATTGACAATTTAACATAGATTATACACACTTGTAATGGTTATTGGTGAACTCAGGACAACTGCATAGCTGCTATATTCGGAAAAAAAATTAGTACAAGGTAGTGACTAATGAGGTACCTTAAATCCTCTATTAGAAGGAAGAAAAGAACAACCACTAAATATGACAGAGGAGAATGAGTGTGTGGTTGACGGTCGTCCTACAACAATGACCAATCTAAAGTACACTCAAGAAAGTTCTAATAACAAAAAAAGGATTAAAAAAAGTAGAATCTACAATCAGAAAAATAATTATTTCACAAAAATAAACCTAAAATTCTATAGACTTAAGCAATACCAATAGAGATTGTAATGATGATTGAAATCGAGAATCAGAGAAGGGTAAAAGGTAGAACCGCAGAAGGCTGGTGGGCGTTGGTTGCGTTTCAGTATTTAGTCTACCACCGAGGCATTGATCGAATCAGACAATCGAAATCGAGAATGAAAGAATAGAGAAGGAAGAATTGAGAAGGGATTAAATGAAGAAGAAGTGAAGAACACTAGAACAGAGGGTGTGTTTTGTGGAAATTGAATCGCCGTCGGTTGCGCTTGTTGATTGTGGCTTCAAGTGTGTGTATTGTTGCTCTTGTTGATTGTGTGTAAGAGGTTGCGTAACTACCACCGATTTTAAAAACCGAGGCCCTAAGCCCTTGCTTAATTTTTTATATGGTAAAGTCGGCCCTTGTCATTTAGCAACTTAATGTTTCATGTTTTCTACATGTTATGTGTTTCATTATTAGGCATACACCTAATCATATGTGTATGGATAGGTTGTTAGTCGTTTATTAACCTTTTTACATCCAGTCATACACACGTAGACGTATATATGCTATATACATTAGTAACCATTTCTCATCCTCTTTTCGTTCATACATATGTCTATATGTATAGATACACTTATAAGCTTTTATTAACGTCTTTTACACACTTACATACTTATTATATACTACTTTATAACCCGTGGGAACCACGGTTACAAAAATTAATTAAATTTTAATAGTAAAAACTCAAAATTATTAATCACTTATTTTAAATAAATTATTAACTAAGAGATTTTTTTAGTTATATAAAATTATAGTCATTGATTTAAATAAATATGTAGAATTATATCACTTTATAATTTGTATTAATTTTATTTTAATGTTATTAATTTAATGTAATTAGAGTGAGAAATTTAAAATTTAAAATTTGAAATGGGGAATCAATAGGTTGACAAGTGGCATGCATTAATTAGGAGACATAATAGGGTAACACATGTCAAAAGAAAAATAAAATATGCATTAATTATGAGGCCTAAATATGGTGACACATGTCAAAATGATAATAAAACTATTCTTTTATTAGAATAGGAAGATAGGAAGATGTATCTACTTGGATTAATGGGAAATTGTTCACTTATTTACACACTCATACATAGATACATTCGTAGTTATTTGTTAACTCCTTTGCACATACATATACATATAAATACACAGCTACATTTATATGTATGTGTTATTACTTTTTTCAACACTTTAACAATGTTGTATACGACATGCACTAGGGTGTCACATGCGTAAGTTTAATCAATGTTGTATTCAACATGACACTAAGTTTGCATCTCATACATGACATTCGAGTATAAAGGCATCTCGCAATGAGCTCATGAGAATACAAAAGTGGTTCCCATAAAAAGCTTGTAAAAAATTCCTTGTATGTTCCGGAACCACAATTTCTCCATATGTCACGAAAATAAGGATCATCGGGATATAAAGTACGAAATGTCTCAAATAATTGCACTCACATAAATTTTGATCTTGGGTCCATGGTTACTCCCTCTTAGTTGTATTATCTGCAATCGTATGAAATGCAAACAACCAACTGTCATGGATATTGAAAACAAAGACAGCTGGAAGTGGTTCATTCAACTGTTGGATACATATTGCAACAAGGAAAAGGAGACTACTTGGATTTCTGACCAATATAAGGTATTTTACAAGCTTTTTTCATTTCTACCGAAAACATATACAACTACAATTTGTGTCCACAACAAGAAAAGTTGTCCAAAACAGAAAAAACTAAAAAATATCGAATTTTATTTTAAAAATGAAACCAAACCCATAGCATAAATATATAATAGATTGGGCTGCTTGTATATGGGCCCCAATCAAACACATAACATAATTTCCATTTAGCAAGCCACCCATCTCCTGAATCTTAACGGAATTATCGCATGTAATGTGCCATATGTTCCAAAGCTTATGACTATATATGTTCATGTAAAAGATGCAATAGTAGGCTACGTTCAATGCAAACGACTTAAAATGAAACTCTTAACACAAAAAAAGAAATGTAATTACACCGAAAAAAAATTATGTACTTCTAAAAATCTAGAGCATGTCAAAAGTTAGCTTCTAGGATCTTGTTTACATACACGAAACTATAAAACTCGACAAAGCTCTAATAACTGCCTTTTTTTAATCTTACCAAATCATCAACAATATGAGCCACTTGACAAAAATAGCTTCCACCTAACCACCACCACCTGCCGCCACCACCACCCTCATGAATTTACACCATTAACTGATAGCTTCTGTTGCCTTATGTATCTATGTGTAGATTCTTGAACTAACATAATGATCCCCATATCAGAAACCGGAGAACATTCTTCTTCACGTTCAGGTTGTATATTCAAGTCAATATTTTGACTTTTAAACGATTGACTAGTAGATACTTTTTCAATACTTTGACCGGGGCCCATTTTCTGGTTTTGGTTATTATTATACCGAATAATGTCAGCATACATCAACTCATTTGGATTCTGTCCCACATTCCCTACTTCTTTCTCTAAATGTTTCTCATCTCCATGGTGTACAAAAACTGATTTGTGATTGGTGCCACTTGGCGACTTTGTAGGCTTGCCATCTTGGATTGCTAAATTAGCAAGCGCATCAAGTCCTTGGTTTTCTAATTCCCTTTTGTTACAAGATGCTAACAACAATACCGATAGATAGATTAGCACAAATTATACAAGAGTTTCTTTTTTGTAAAAAGGGTAGTTACGTCTTTTGCACAGACGAGAGATAAAGCTCGAGTCCCTACTCCACCTTTTTCGATAGAGGATAAAATATTGTAATTTTTTTTACATTGACATCAGTCTGAGTCCCAGTTCAACGCATGTCAAACACAGTACAGTCTGACAAAAGTTGGTCAAAAGTGATTTGTACCGTGAGTAATTGTTGAAAAGTTTGTAGGACTCCCTATAATCGGATCCTCCTGTTACATTCAACAATGTCATGAGAAATATATAAATAAACCAACATGATGAATTGAATATTTTTAGAGTATCTTTTCACCTGAAAATCCTCAAATTCAACACCCTCAATAACCACAATGGTGGAGGAATTAGTAAGAGGTGGTCTCAACAATCCTTGAACTTGTTCTAAAGTAACATTTACTCGAACCATCTCTTCATCATTAGGTTTAACATGTTTGCTATTTGAACACATCTTTCCCCCCTTCTTCCTTTTAGCAATTTTATCAACTTCTGCCCATGTCCCATCTGGATTTCTAGATTTATTTCCGAAACTACCCTTCGAAGGTTCTTCATGAGTAGAAACCTCAGTGACCTGCAGTCAAGAAACATTGGAGGAAATCAAACAAAAGTTGTAAGGGCATTTATGTCTTTTACACAGCCGAGAAATTGGTTAAGGAAAAAGACTGACATGATAAGATGGAGAAGAGGGTGATGCTTTTCTGAATCCCATCACAAGTTTTCCTTCAGGCTCTAACCTACTAAATGTTACTGAACAAAAAAAGAAAAAAACTGAATAGCTAAGAAGATGACCAAAAGTATTAATAAAAAAGAAAAAGAAATGATGAAGATGAAGATGAGGGCATTTATGTCTTTTACCTGTATCACCAGCTTGCAACTGCATGGACTGTATACAAGGAGTGACTCCTTCTAGAACATACATTCTACTATTATTATTAGGCCAGAATCTAAACTGTAACACCCAATCCTTTCCCTTCAGATCTTGAACTACAAGGGGGTAACCTTCAGGCTGAGAAATTGGTGGAAGATAAGCCTGTATGAAAAAAAATATATATAAATAATAAATGAAAAATCTTTAATGGTTCTATTATTTTTATAACAGTTTTATTTATTCATCTCATTACCAAAAACCAAAATTGCATACCTCTGCACATTTTTTTGGCAGCACCAATCGCCCTATCCTTCCAGCATCACTAGCACTTAACACTTTCTCAAACAAAGGGGTAATTTTGGCATTTGACCTGTCACATCATTAAAGATAATAGGATTACTCTTAAAATTATGAATTTAAGAGCATGATAATGCCCTTTTATGCTACTAACCATCAAGGGGTTGTTTCTTTTTCCCCATCAAGTCTTGTAAGGGTAAAGTGGCCAAATTGGTAATGATGTATGTTTACATAAGGTCTGTTTCGTCTGGACGAGACTAAATGACCATTTTACCCTTACCTTCCAACAAACAAGTTTCCAATACTGATCTTTTTTAACAATAACCATAGGTATTATATAATAATCCATTAAGCTCATAAAGTCAAAAAGTCAAAAAGTTAAAAAGAAACAACACCTAAGTACTAGTTAATGGATATCATATATTATATAATCATATCAATAAAAGGGTATTTGAAAATAGGATACCCTCCAGAGATCTGTTGTAGTTCTTGATCTGTTAACCGAGGCCAATACCGGGGAATTAACTGATGTCGACCCCGTTTTTCTCCATGACCCTTTCCACTGTAAGTTTGACTTTCAAGAGATGTGCCAGGTGGACTATTACTACTGGAGCAACATTTCCCTACTGATGGTGGAGGGCAAAATTGTCCAGATGCTTTTCCTTTTTCGCTCTTTTGATCTTGTGCCATGAATGTTGCTGGTAAACTAGAAACAGGGGTGGCAAGTTCATTTGAAAAGAAAGATTGAAACAAATTATGTTTTCCATCATACTGTACCCCTGAAAACAAAACAATCAGGTATGTAAAACTTATTTAAGTAAGAGTTCACATGTTTTAACTTCTTTTTAAGGGAAAATTGCAGGAAATAGCAACGTAATTTAAGTGAGAGGAAAGTATGTTGCTATTCTACACAATTTACACTCTTTTTAACCAACAAAATCTTACCAGTGGCTTTGGCTCTATCACTGGTAATCTGCCAGCTGTCATTCACTAATCTTTCAGAAGGGTCATGTATTATACTTCTAGTCAATGAACATGAAGTTAATTGTTCCCTTGAAAGAGGTTTATCAATGTTAGAGAGTAAATCAGGTTGAAGTTTAGAAGAATTGAAGAGATAAGGTGCTTGCTTCCATGGTACAGGACCTGATCCTGCTATTGATCTCCAATTTTTGGAAGAAATATCTCGAATTCTTTCAGCGGGACCCATGAGGAAGTGGGGAGAAGATGGCCATGTAGGATTTGGTGTCTAAAACATCAAATACAATAAAGAAAAAAGTTAAATGAAATAATATTGAAAATAATCAGAAGCAGGAAGTGAGGCTAATTGTGGTTACCAAGATGTATTCTGATTTTGCACAGTTGATACACTCAATTCCTCCAGCATCCAACAATATGAACATGTGGAATGACACTATGCATCCACAATGAATTTGCTGTAAAGCATAATGGGTTCATTATTATAAAAAGACAACTTCCAACATAAGAATTTAGAGATTTATATTATGATGGTAGTTAAAGATGAGATAAAGTCCATTTTTTACACAATGACTTGCCTATTTTGCCTCCTATACTCACGATATTTCTACAGAGAAACAGCCAGGTTGCGTGTATTTTTTATGACAACTAAAGAATGTAAAGGAAATATCTGTAATTTCTAAAAGTAGCAAATGTTATAATATGTCCTTTAGTTTCTGTAGTTGTCATAATGCATGCAATGTGTATGTTTCCTTGTAGAGACAATATCATGGGTAGATGAGGTGATCAAATAAAGATAAAGAAGGAAAGATGTTAATTCAGCTAATTAGTCTTGATAGATAGATTTCTAACCTTTCCACAAGACTCACAACATCTCCAACCAGAAGCATTCATGTGGTATGTATTACAGAATTTTCCATCTTTAAAAGCAGAACTGGAGTCAAATTGAACAAGAATTGGGAGGGTTTCATAAATTAGAAAGAAACTAATAGAAAAGGAAACCAAAAATAACTAAAGTAAATATAGAAGCACCCAAACACAAGAGTCTATGAGGTCATCATACTTCAATGATCATAAGCTAATCTGGCATGGTAACTGATATTTAATCTGCATCTGCACATGTTTGTGACTTTGCATTTTTCCTTGTGACACATTTGAGAAAACCACATTAACTGAAAACATTATTAATAGTGTCTCATGGTGTTTACAAAAATTTGACCCATCCATTTCTCTTTTTCCTATAAAAAACACACACACATATAACTTCTTAAACAAGGAACACCATTCAAGGGTTTTTTTATTTCCAATTCATATAGAGTTCTATCCAATATGTCATTTAAGATGGGGAAGCTTGTTTTGCACTGTTACTACCATCTTGAAAAACCCTCGCCCAAGATTCAACAACTTAAATAGTTCTTTATGTTTCCCTCTTTAAACCTCTTCATACCCAACTATAGTATTGCTTTCTTTATAAAGGCTATATGAACAAAAACTATGTATGTGTCAGAGAGACTGCTATTCAGAAAAAAGACACTTAGAGGTCCAAAAATCAATCACATTCATCGGTTTTTAAGGATCATGCAGAACCATGAACCTTGACAGAAAGCCTGCAATTAACCTTCAATTATCCTTCACTATAAACAATAATGGTTAATCGTGTAGCACTAAGCTCCCCATTTCCGAAACCTAACTTCCACAACAAATTACCGAAATATCAAGCAAATATTACTTAGGATACAAGCAACAGCATCAGAATAACAGAACAAAACAACGCCGAATTTTCAAACAGAAAACACAAAATCAGTAGCATTCTTTCAACAACAAAGGATAACTAAATAGTAAAGGGATTTTACGAGCATCGATCGCAGAGGTCAGCGAAGTCTCCCGTCCGGCAAAGCCAACCTTGTCTAGGGACTTCCAGAGCCTCTTTACAAGTCGAATTGAAGCACAGCTTCGTTGAACCGGAAGACGAAGCCATCAACGGCCGCAATATGTACACTTCAAACTCAACCAAAATCTTCCTCCCTCACGGAAAACCTAGAGAGGTGATGATTGAGTAAAAAGAAACAAACAATTTCATCGCAAAACTCATCAATAAACCCTTAGGGAATTCGAAATTTAGAACCCTAAGATGGCATTTTGCGAGTCTTTTATGAGTGTTCGTGTGAGGCAAACAGAGCTACGGGTTACTTCCTTGCAGAGGGTTCTAGAGAGCGAGAGCAGGAGAGAGAGAGAGAGGAGTGTGTGATTTCTGCGTATATATATATAGGCTGTATCTATAGATATATAGGGGACTTATATGTGTCAGGGTTTTTGCTTTTAATTCTAGTGGGTATATAGAATCCACGTTATCCAACTTTGCCCCTTCAATATTCCACTACTTTGCACTTCAGTCATGTTAGTTTCATTTTCCAAATAAAAGCCCAATGGAAGACATCATTTTCTAAATAAAAGCCCAATGGAAGACATGTAATTTTTGTTTTTCTCAAATGATAAAATGTACTCTCTCGTTGTAGCAAATGTTAAAATGTTACGAGTCACATTAATATCACATGAATGGACATGTTGACTGAAAAACCGACCGGTATAGTATTAGTGTTCTCGGTCCGATTATTAGTTCTTGTAATCCTTCAATTTTGGTTTCGATTTTATCAATTTTAGTTCTATCGAATTTAGGGTATTTAACGGTTGACATGAAATTTATTTCAACATGCAGTTCATTGTTTTGGTTACATTTTAGATTCTGGAAACGTTTTATTTCGTTATATATTGACTAACTTATATGACCATAAAGAGGGGTTGTTAACATTGTTGGGACTATTTAAACATTATGAAAAAATAGTGTTCAACTTTAAACTGTTATAGCTATTTCATTATAAGTTTGGTTATTTTTTTCCAACATGTATTTCATTGTTTTGACTACATTTTAGACCTTAGAAAACCTCTTATTTGGTTATATATCTACTGATTGGACTCCAAGCATGGCTATTAAAGTTGTTTGTGTCGTTTCATAAATTTGTAGAATCAACTTTAAATTGTGATAACTACTTCGTTATAACTCCAATCGATTTGATTTTTCACCATTTAGTTAAATGTTTTAGTTATATTTTACTTTGCAAACGACTTATTTGGTTATATATCGACTAAGTTATAAGGCCTTAAATGGAGCTATTAAAGCTTTATATATATATATATATATATATATATATATATATATATATATATATATATATATATATATATATATATATATATATATATATATAAACTGATAGCCCCGATTTTTGGTTATTTATGGTTCCAAAGCCAATATGCTAATAAATTTCATTCATAATCAGATTTATGCCCGGAATAAAATAGTATGATACCTAAAATCAGTTTCTATATACTGACCTGGTCATCAGTTATTGCAAATCACACGTTTGGTTTTTGATTTTGATTCGGTTTCGGAACCGAACACATCCCTAGCTCACACGATATTTTTATGGTTCAACTTAAGGATGTAAATTTGTATTGTGTGTGTATGTGTGTGTACACACACACACATAAGTCAAATATGAGTTACAAGTATTGTGTGAAAGTGTGGCAATTTTTTTGCCATTAGATTAAAAAATAATGAAAGGATATGATCTTATGGTACATATTATTAACATCAATTAGCAATTGTATATAATTACACCTAATTAATTATAAAGTAATATGACATTTTATTAAGAAAGAAAGTTTAAAATTACCGATATTTTAGGCAACTAAGTCAAATTAATTAATGTAGATGAAATCAAATCTTATATTTTATTCAACATATTCAAATTAAACAATGTCATTCAAGATAAATATTTTTTTTTAATTATCAATATTAAAGAATACACCTACATATTATTCTTTAAGAAAATGTATTGTAATATAACCAAGAATATATATTATAAAAATAAAAAATTATTCTTATAATATAAAACAATCATTTTTATAACATAAAACAATAATATATACAGCATTTTGAAGAATATACACAAGAATTTGTCTTTATTCTTAAAGAATGTATAAAATATTTATAATAATAAACTATACTACAAGTGAACAAATCGGCATTCTTGAAAGAATAAACTACACATTCTTGAAAGAAAAAAAAATGAAAAATGTACTAAATTCTAACAATTTTTATAAAATATACGTTTTATTTTTTAAAGAATACACTATCATCTTTGAATCTTTTTGAAATAAAGCATTTTCAGTTTTGGAAGCATACAAACAAAATCACTCTAAAAGCATAATATTTACAACGAAAACAATGAAGATCCACTAAATTTTAACCATTCTTGAAAGATTACGCTTTATTCTTGAAAATATACAATGTTATTCTTGCATTTTTTTTTTTTTGAAAGAAAAAATTGGCAATCTTGGAAGAATACACATACATGGTCCCTTTCATCTTGTTATGTAGGTAGAAGAGAAGAAAAATAAAGAAAAATCTTATTCCTTTATGATACTAACAAACTCCTCATTTGAACAACGATCGTTGCCATTGGTCAATATTACATTGTTCAAAAAATTGTAATCAACAATATTTCCCATCTTGATCATTTTCTCCTGACATGAAGTAAATGCAAATGTTTAAAAAAAATGTTCATGAAAAAAATTAGCATAAAACAATACCAAAAAATGAATAAAACGCAACGTAAAGATTAAAAAAACCAATATATTTGTAATCATAAATAAATAAAACACAACAAATATATAATACACTAATACACTACTTAGTCATAAATGAATTAACTAAGTTCGCTATAAATCAAAGTAATCCATATAAATCAAACTAAACTAAACGAATGTATATTATTTTTTACTAAAGATGCGATTAGAATTCTAAAAGGATTAAAGAAACCAAATTATTAATGTTTGTCTCACTAATGTCCCAATCACGTGAATTACATTGAGTCGATATTTTTTATCTAACCAAATTGAATTCTTTTTTACCAAGTAAAATTAAACTAATAATCAAATCGCTAATCTAAATCATATAAAATATGATTTTAATACAATTAAGCTTTGATCATCGGTATACATTACTGTGACATCTCTTATTTTTCAAAATCGAAAAAAAAAATCTTCATGCTTTTAAAACACATTGTCTTTGTTTGCAAAAGGTGTCCCATTTTATTAAAATGTTATGAGTACATATGTTGTTTCAAAATAACAAAACCCTAAGGATGTCATAAGCAATACATAACATAAGTTATAACGTAAAGACATATCGGTCCCGAATACTATTATAGGTTGTCTCTTATTCACTCGACGTTCTAATCAAGTTCCAACAGTCTTAGCAACACTACCTGTGATGCATATAATTTGAGTGGGTCAGGTTTGGGAACATGATAATACACATAGGGTTTTCAATTCGATAATATTAATATGATAATAATAATCATAAATAATTAATCCAGCAAAACCAATTGTCTCTAAAAAATATGGATATACCATACAATATATATCTATAAAGACACTATACCCTTTACCCTTAGTTACTTAACCCGTCGATTCTCACACGCCGATGCTATAAGCAATGACTAGACTATTCTGCTTCGATGATTCCTTGGAAGTGGAAGTCAATAAGGCAACCATGTGGGGGATAAAGTATAAAACCTACGGGAATGAACACCCGTTATGTTACACAATACGTCAATGGGTTATAAATCCACACTAACAAAGTAATTCACAAGACTGTCTAGAATAATCAAGTGTTGTCATCTTACTCTGGTAGATGACCCATACATACCTACTTGATTGCCTGATACAGACCCACCATTTATGGCTGTCTAGAGGAATACTAGTGTAGTACTTCGATACATGACCCATAGACCAGCACGTAATAGTGCCACATAACTTATCTCTACCCTCCGTTCAAATCTTACACTCACACCCAGTGTAAATTTACCCACTTATTCAACTTACTTTGAACTAAGTATCCTTGACAAGTCTTAGTTTATAACTAGACTAGAGTACAATACATGTAATCAACTTCCAATATCATTTTCCTGTTCATGCAATACTATCACAACACATGATATACATTTAACACATAATAGTAAGTATTCAATATACATTTAATATTTTTAAGTAATAATACTTCTATTAAGATTTTCATATAGTATTACCAAATATTTATTTAACACATATATATTATATCTGGTTCGTACAGTGTATGTCATGTAGTATTACCAAATATATATTTAACATGTATTCCAAATAAATAGAATTTAATTCACACATAAGCTTTCAACTGATATTTAATACTTTTATTAAAATCATATCTATTAAAGTGACTACACACTTACATATAAGGCATACTTTTAACACAAAATATAACTAGAAAGCTTTCGGTATATATTTAATCTTTTAAGTAATAGATACTTTTATTAAAATCATGCTCTTGAAAGTAACTATGCACTCACGTGATTGAGGTGGAAGATTCACAAGAAAGTTAGTTCATCAACTAACACTTTAGCTTCCCTTTTAACGACCTAAATACGAATATTACTAAGTCTTAGAATTCATTTATATTCTCCGCAACTAAAATAACAGTATCTCAGATTCATCATTAATCCTAGATGAATACTAAGTTCTATCAGATAAGGAATGATCGAGTAAGATCATATTGGAGGTAGGATCCATTTTGTATGTAGATATACTGTTTGAAAATCCAGTTTAAACACCTCACTAGATCTTGCCTACACATTACTCCTGTAAGTAGATCAATCAATATAACAATTGGTATTACTGATAAATCTTATTTATAGTTTCATAATAACGACAATGAACATAAATATAACTTACACTTAGACCCGCTCAACCCAATGAGGAAACTCACCTCGAAATCCGAACGATAGTTGAATAGGTCCCGGCTCCGAATATCAGCTCTACCCATCACCTAATAGACAAACGATGACCAATCCTTAAATACACCTCAGATTACCTCAAGTACCTCTTAGGTCATACTTGGTCAAAGACAAAAGTCAAAAGTCAAGGTCAATAGTCCGTGTTGACCCAACACGCCGTGTTTCTCCATAAACTACAAAGTCGGGAAAAACCAAGCCAACACGTCGTGTTTACCAATAAACACGTCGTGTCTGTCTGGAATCCATCAGCTTAATACATTAAGCTACCTTCATCGAATCCAAGAGCTCCAAAGCGCAAATCTCGACCAAAATGAGATCTAGAAGAGTAAAGTTTCCAACTTTACCCCTGGGAACCACCAAAATGGGTCCAAAACCCAAACCCTAGGCTTAA